TTGACAGAAACTATAATTATAATGACAAATACAATAAATGTTATATGTAAATACTTTAAAGTATCACATGATAAACTTGTGCAATAACGTATGCCTAGAAATTGTTAGGAATACAACTGTTTACTGAATAACAGTAATAAGTAGTATCAAACAATATACAAAAAAGAATTGACAGGAAGATAGTAAGGACAGAGAATGTAAACAAACTTAACAGACATTTGGAGTACATCTTAAATCAAATGAAATCAGTGTACTGATTGTTTCGAGTTTTAAAAGGTAATTCATGTTTATATTTATAGAAGCTGCTGTTTGGTATTTATATCGTCTTCAATAAGTATCTTCTTTCAATTACAAGATAACATACTGCTTCCAGAGATTTTGAATTCAAGCATGGTCATAATGATGTATTGAAACAAACAAGACCAGAAAATTCTAAACTAGAACAGTAGTGTTGACCAACTGGATATATTATCATATGGTATGTTTTATTAATGATAATATTACTACAAACTTATTGAGAAAACCTGAGTCGTTCTTGTTACATGAAAGTGCATTTGCTGAACTGAGTTTCCCAAATAGTTTGTCTTCTATCTATGTTCAGTTGAATTAATCAATTGCTAGGTGAATATGCTAATAATTTAACCGTAATGAGAATCATATACTGATAATTACTAGCTATACTAATTGTTGTTGCATGAGTTTATCGTTTAATATTCTAAAGTATTTACATATCACTTACTTCTTTACGCCTCTTACTCACAATGGAGCATAGGCCGCCGTCCACCATTCTCCATCCAACTCTGTCCCCAGCCTTCCTTTATAGTTCTATCCAATTGTTCTTCATTCTTCTCATGTCTGTCTCCGTTTCTCGATGTAATGTATTCTTTGGTCTTCCTCTGCTCATTTGACCATGAGAATTCGAAGTGAGAGCTTGCCTCGTGACGTATTTGGGTGCTTTTCTCAATGTGTGTCCTATCCACTTCCAGCGTTTCTTCCTAATTTCTTCTTCCCCGGGGATCTGGTTTTTTCTCTCCCACAGTAGGGTGTTGTTGATAATGTCTGGCCAATGGATTCGAATTATTTTGCGCAGACAACTGTAAATAAATACCTATGTCTTCCGGATGATGGTTTTCGTAGTTCTCCAAGTTTCTGCCCCATACAGTAGAACTGTCTTGACATTTGTATTGAAACTTCTGACCTTGGTGTTGGTTGACAGTTGTTTTGATTTCCAGATGTTCCTCAGTTGTAAATATGCTGCTCTTGCTTTGCCGATCCGCGCCTTCACATCTACATCAGATCCACCCTGTTCATCAATGATGCTGCCCAAATATGTAAAGGTTTTTACATCTTCCAAATCTTCTCCGTCAATTGTGATTGGATCGGTGCATGCTGTGTTGTATCGGAGAACCTTGCTCTTCCCTTTGTGTATATTGAGACCTACTGCTGCTGAGGCTGCTGCTACACTGTTCGTCTTCTCCTGCATTTGTTGTTGCGTTTGGGATAGAAGAGCCAGATCATCTGCGAGGTCTAGATCGTCCAACTGCATCCTAGATGTCCACTGCATCCCGTGTTTTCCTTCAGATTTTGACGTCTTCATGATCCAGTCGATCACCAGGAGAAAGAGAAAGAGTGAGAGTAAGCAACCTTGCCTAACACCGGTCTTTACTTCGAACAAGTCTGTGACCTGTCCTCCATGCACAATTTTGCAGTTTAATCCATCATATGATATTGACTATCTTCTGAAGCACGCCGTAATATCGAAGAAGCTTCCATAATTTTGTTCTGTCCACGCTACCAAATGCTTTAAAGTAGTCAATAAATTTTATGTAGAGTGGTGAATTCTATTCAATTGATTGTCCCACAATGATCCGTAGAGTTGCGATTTGGTCTGTACACGATCTATCCTTACGGAATCCTACCTGTTGGTCTCGAAGTCGGGCGTCTATGTAGTCCTTCATTCTGTTTAGAAATACTCTGTTGGAGACTTCTGGTAGCTATCACAGTTGCTGAGATCGCTCTTCTTTGGAATCTTGATCAGGTGTCCTTCTTTTCAGTCTGTTGGTACTTGTTCTCTATCCCAAATCTTATTGAAGAGAATGTGAAGTATTCTTGCAGTTGCCGCCATATCTGCTTTCAGTGCCTCTGCTGAAATGTTGTCTGGTCCTGGTGCTTTGCCATTCTTGATTTGTCTGATGGCCATGCTGATTTCTTCAATTGTTGGTGGGCCAACATAGATTGGGAGGTCCGTGGGTGCTGCTTGTTGGGTGGGTTCAGTGGAGCTGGTCGATTCAAGAGTTCTTTTAAGTGTTCTACCCATCCATTTTTTTGTTCTTTAATGTTGATGATTACTTTGCCCTCCTTGCTTTTCACTGATCGTTCTGGTTTACGATGATTTCCAGAGTTTTTTGTTGTGTCATACAGTTGTCTCGTGTTTCCTTTTCTTAGTCTTTTCCGCTGTCATTGCTAAATCTTCCACATATTTACGTTTGTCGGTTCTGCTGATCCTCTTCACTTGCTTGTTTAATAACTTACATATACTTTTGACATTTATTGTATTTGTCACTCAGCTAGCATCTTATAAAGAAAATGTTTCATAAAAATTATTTTTTATTTCTGTATTTATTTGCATTTATCATGATATTGATAACCTCTCAGCTGAAATATTCCTTTTCTGGGAAACTTAAACCACAGGTAGGAATGTCAAGTCGCATGATAAATAATCTGTTACAAACTGATTGTAGGATCTTTCACTCAATGATACGAGTTCCAATTCGGCAAGTACTACGTATGCAGCTAGGAAGTATCTACTGCGTTCCAAAGTATGCTGTCAATCTTAGTTGTGATTTCTTGACTACCATTACTATTTACGTTCTGAAGCTTAAAAGTAGCGACTAGGGCCTGACGATACTTAGAAGTTGATTTATGCATTTAATACTACATTCACCAGAGATTTAAAATATTTTCAACAATTCATTGAGTTACTGAAATATTATGTAAGTAGTCTCATAATTTGAGAGGATGATGGCCAGCAGTGGTATCCATGACACGAGTTTCGTCCTATTTGGGACTTGTCAGCTAGATGCACCTACACCTGAAAGTTGGTGTCCACTCCGGGGCTCAAACCTGGTACCGATAGCTAGGTATATAATGTGACTATGTCCGAAGCATACGACACTGAGTCCGAGTCCCTAATAAGACGAAACGTGCGTCCTGGATTCTACTGCTAGGCATCATCATCTCTGATTACAATGTTTGTGACATAAGGCAATCCTCAAAGAATGCGCGTTTTTCAATAAAATGGTGATCTACTGCAGTCCTAAACATCAACGGGAAGATTCAAACAACTAATACAAAGCAAAATTAAGTCTCATACTTAATTACAATAACCTAAGTAGTTCGAAAAAGTGCAAATTTCTGCCTGAAGACTTTTATCTGTAAACAACAAGCACTATGCTACTGGGTAACCTAACTTGGTAGTCATGATACAAACTAAATGACCGAGATTCAATCATCAAGAATCTTCAGTTCGCTATGTTAGCATCTAATAATTGATATTACCATTTTCAGTCAATTAGAGATATCTCTTACAACCACATTATCTTCTGAAGTAAACAAATTATTTTAATGTGTATTTGGTAGTTGGTTCTTAGCTATATCTACTATTCTAATGTCTTTGAAATTTGATTTAGATTTAAACTATGAAATCGAAAGCTATATTTCGAAAATATGCATACAACTAAACAATAGTTTGATCTCGTTTGATTTAGATGTGAGATTTCCATGACCAGGTTGTAGACTCCATTTAAATCAATATTAGTTGGGACTAAAGTACATGACTAGGATTGAAAGTGAACGAATAGAAACACTTACGAAAGCTAAACGAATATAAAAGATCGATATCTGATATTTTGGTTCATTTAAAAGGATAGAATGACAAAATTATTCATAAAACATAGTCCCAATTTGTTAGCAAGGGTAAGTGATACAAACTAGCTGTGCAAACCGAAATAAGTGGAGCGAGACTCATTTATGACCTAGTGGTTGAAATTAAGAAAGCTAGGCCATTACTTCACTAAATGAAGTGTTTCTATTCAACGGTTAATAGTAATTTAGATTTTGGGTAGCAACGTAGTTGATGACACGCGTTTTATTCCACTTGGGATTTATCAGTGTAATGTAACTAATTCCAAATGGGACTTGGACCTAGAACCTCCAATTCAAACCCCGTAGTTATTTGTAAACCTTAATCATGTAGCAAAAGAATTAAAGTGATAATAGCAATCGTGAGTATTTGGTTAGACACCAACCTACCATGGTTTATCAGACTAACTAGATAAGTATAGTTGTCAGCACACTATCACTTCACTACTTCTGAACGGACTAAACGCTGACATCTGCCAGTCTTGAGGTGAAATTTTGTACTTAAATAAAGATAAACGCATCTCAAGAATTATTTTATTGTTACTCAAGGTATTCAGCAGACCATGAATTTTCTCTGGATTCTGAACAAACAGGTCAATCTTATTTTAAAGCTAAAAACTGGTTGTTCGGGTAGAAAGTTAATCTCTCAAAAGTTAAATAAAGAAAATGCTATTCTGTTGAGATATTCAGGAAAATATCCCAAAAATTATTCTATTAAGTCTAATGCTATTCTTGGACTTGGAAATGGTATTATACACTTATTGGTCAGTACTTATTTCACGTGTTATTTTCCTACTGGTCAATATTGTACAATGTTATTTTCTATTTTATCGTACGATGTGGTCTGCTTGATTAGTATATAAACAGAGTATGTTTGAAATATAATAATTCATATCTCAGAGGCTGAGACTTGTATTCTGGACTTAACTGGCTGAGCTAGACAGGGAAGCGGGACCAATCAGAACCGTAGGCCGTTCTTATGTGTTTGCGATCGATAATTCGTTACCCTCTAATCTGCTGCCGTCACAGTTATAGCATATTCCCAAGTCCATGTTAATAATGAAGTGAGAACAAAAATGTAGAAAGTGAATTATTAAGAAATTATAAAACATAACTATATATTTTAAACTTTAATTACAATGTTACTAGGATATACGAAAGATACAATCTCTGTACAGTATTTGAATGTTTAGATCAATCAATCAATATGATTAATTTACTGTGATATGTCCAATAGGTGGAATTAATGATACAATGATGGGGAAAATTCATCCCCATCTCTCCTGACTCAAAAATCCATTTAGATTAAATATTTAAATTTATTACAAAGATTATCAATTTAGAAAATCAATAATTTAATCATTTTCAACAAAATTGTGGTCTTGGTATAAAATTTGTTGTTGATTCACATAAACTTGAACGAGATGTACGTTTATGAAATAATGAATTTGATTGTATATTTGGATATTTTAATGGTATACTAGAATGTCGTTGAGTTTTAATATTACAAAAATATGGATGATGAAGTGCATCTAAAGCAGTAATTCGTTTCTTTGGGCATGGTTCTAATAAACGAGCTAATAAATCATAAGCTGAAGTTGGAAATATATGAGTTGATGATAAAGCAATCATTGGTTTTCCATTAGATAATTCTGTAGTTTGTATAGAATTATCATTAGTTGACTTTATTGTAGTTTTACGTAATAAAGGAGGTAGACCAGCAAATTTTTTCTCATATAATCTAATTGCAGAACATCTATAAGAAACCATAATTAATAGTACAATATTATTCACTCATATAATCAAATTTATGATTATTCAAATGATTATGTAAGAGGTAAAGGGAAGACAAAATATGAATTGATAATAATCTGTAAGAAATCAATAAGATACATATGACAAAGACAATGTAGGGTCTAATTTGATGATAAAAAGGGAGGGGATGACAAAAATCCCACTCACTGAAATTCAAGTTTCTGTGTAACAATACTCTTAAATATCATGGAGAAAAATAAGCTGGAAAAAAAGGACATCAAAGGAAGTAACCTCTTACAGAGAATTAACATAATATGAATATAATTGTAGCACCGAAAATTAGTTATGTCACTTCAACGAATACCCTTTGTCACATTTCAATATGTTGATAACTTCAATTGTTAATCGAAAACTTTATATGTCACTTAGGCCTACAACAAGGGCCATTGAAGTTTGTTAGCTTGATATAGCTTCACGAAAGTTTGTCTCCGTCAATATATTTTTTAGAGTAGATCGAAAATACCCTTAATTGGAACAAAGCCAAACATTAGTTAGTCACTTTATTCACTGGTCTAATATTTAATTTCAGAGTTGCCCAAATGTCAATAGCATACAAGATCACGATCTGATTATCTGTAACATTATGATAGAGAAGTTCATCAGTTAAGGGTAAAAGATTTTGAGTCCACCTAGGGGAGTTGGAAAACCCTGATCCCAAACCAATGGTGCACATGGGCTCCAGTATCCTGCGGGAACAAATGGCGTATGAACCAATCGTTGGTCACCGGCTACCACGGGACTGCATGTCCTTACGATGCTCCACTGCCTTGTGGATCAAACCTTTGGGTAGAAGGCTCCAGGTGTGGCCCCCTAAGAAAACCACCTGCTTCGGTTTGGGCACCCAGGCAGTATCACAGGGCGAGACTCTAATTTATGGAAGAGTCAATCAGAAGCGTTTCAGCGACTTCAAGGTTACTGCACCAACTTCAGTGCTCAATGTTAACGTACGATCGGTTCACATGGAATTTTGTACAAAACGTGATAATTGAGTGGCTATAACAAATAAAACGGCGAGACTATAATTTGTGGACGAATCAATCAGGTATAAGATAACAGATCTCGGATTTTAACGCGAAGGCCTTTCATTCATTTGGCTAAATAAGTTTCTGGCATTATACCTGATGTCAGTTAATGATGAAAACCCCATATATAATTCCTAACTAGGGCAAATTACGAAAATTATCGCGAACTGGATAATAAAAGCACCAGTAACACTGGCTGCAGCCAGGTACTACAATATATACGGATGTTTGGAGAGCGTACAGACTCCTACATATGCTTGGTTATGTGCATCGTGTCGTTATCCACAAGTAGAATTTTGTGTGCTCAACAACCGGAGTGCACATAAACAATATTGAAACTATGTGGTCGAGGTTGAGAGATTTTGAGACTATCATGGCTCCAGAGGCCGACTATTCTGTAGCCATATGGATGATTTCCTCTATTTCATGCATTACAATTTTAGAACCTCTGAACCTCCTTCTAACCTTGACAAGTTTTTGAACCATATATAAGAAGTGTATCCAGTTTATTTCCTTGGTTTGTATAATATATTTTTACTCTGTACTGAGTGTTTGCTGATTGGCTAATATTTCTCAAGGTCACTTAAGATTCGTTCAAGGTCGTCAATAAATAAGAGCCTCGTTGTATCACAGCCCTCACACAAATCTCATTACATTTTTGTGGTGCATATGTATCTGGTGCCCCGTTGTACCAATAACTATGTGTCTACCGAGACAACCAAAAAAATTGATGCTTAAATGTTTACTCAAACAAATCATAAATGCAAGTTAGATTGTAAGATAGATAAGTGTGAACATAAAGTTCGATTATCAACCAGATAGATTTAAACCTTACTACAACTGAAAATATTTAAGTTTACACATTAAAATATCCAACGAAAACTAACAATTCAAAGTAAAACTAGTGTAATGAATGAAAGCTTCATACACTCCATTATTTAAGGAAGTAACGTAAGGTTTATCTAAAAGTTTTTTATTCAACCAGGTCATTATGATTACAATGGTAGTTGAAAAAAAATGAGTGATTGTGCCTCAGGGGAAATATGGATCTGGCATGAAAATCACGCACAATGATGTTGATTTTTACGATGAAACCTGGATCCAGTACCTATAGATTTATAAACAATTAACAGATACACATGAAGTGTCCCGAGTAGGAGTCAGTCAGTCAGTTACAACGTAGAACCAGGCACATATGTGCATCGGTCCAGGTTGCCATACCGCATCAGCACAACAAGATGAACACCGGATTCATAACAGTGGTTAGGTAAAAGGTGGTAATATATAAGAGAAAGATTGCATATAGAGATATAGTACAAGAAGAAAGAATTGGTTAGTAGAAAGAAAGATATGAAGCGCTTTTAATCTCTTAGTTTAAGGGAAGAAACCGAGTGTATACACCGACGCCATTGTGATCGATTCTGAGCCATGTCACCAAGAGTCTCCAACCATTGGTTACGATAGTCACGCGGACCCCAACCAAGTAGTCTGCATCTACCAACATGGCTCAGACTAGAAGTTAGTGACTTCAAGCACTGATGCCACGTTTTGGTTTGGCCGCCCCTAACTTTCTTCCAACCATCCCCAACATCGGATAGCATTGCACGTCGTGGTAATCGGTGTTCAGGCATACGTAACACGTGGCCCAACCATCTCAGTCGATGAAGATTCATAACCTCATCAACTGATTTACCATCCTTTCCTAATACCCTGCGTCTAACCACACTATTACTTACCCGATTATCCCAACAGACGCCAGCAATATTTCTAAGGCATCTGTGGTCAAATACTAGCAGCTTGCGAGTGTCTTCTACTCTTAATGGCCATGTTTCGCTACCGTAAAGTAAAACAGAACGGACTGCCGCGCAGTATACTCGTCCTTTTATTGATAGACGGATATCTCGCCTTCGCCACAGGTGATGTAAGTTGGCAAAAGCCAAACGAGCTTTTCGAATCCGTGCTGAGATTTCGTCCGATACCAACCCATTAGGGCTGATCAGACTTCCAAGATAAGTGAAGTTGTCCGAAGGCGAAGTCGTACTGCTGACTGTACAGAGGTGTGACAGCAGTAAGGTGTTTCCTTCAGACAACCAGCATGACAGCGATGCTCATTCTGGAGTACCTGCTTGGACTCCGATCATGCCCTAATACGGGCACGCATCTGCTTGCGCCTCGCCGGACGCAAAAAAGCCACATTAAAAAGACCAATTAGAACTGAATTGAGCAACGAGAAAACCAAAAATAGGTTCCAAGAACAACTGAGTTCACACTTAAGTAGTTCTGAACACGAGGCTGACCCAGATGTTGCTTGGAAAGACATACAAGCAGCTGTGGAAGCAGCAGTGACATCTATTAGCAACTTAAACCACAGAGTTTCAAAGAACCAGTGGATTTCTTCAAAGTCTATCACACTGATGGATTCTCGCAAATTTGTCCCATCAGGTTCCGAACATGATGAAGAGCGACAACAAATCAGATCTAGGTTAAGAAAAAGTTTAAGAAACGACCGTGAGCAGTGGTGGGCAACGAAAGCAAAAGAGATGGAAAAGGCGGCGACTATAGGGAACACAAGACAACTTTACAGACTAATAAAAGAAACTGGAATTAATAAGTCAAGTGTAAGTGAGATTATATCGGAAAAAGACGATACTCTCATCTATTCCCAGTCCAGACGTTTAGAACGATGGGCGGAACACTTTAGGGAACAGTTCAGCTGGCCTTCAGCGACTCTACAACTACCCTCCATTCCCAGACAGCGTGAATGGAACATTGAAGTAGGTCCCCCAACTCTTGCTGAAGTTCAAAAGGCTATAGATAATCTGAAACGAGGAAGGGCAGCTGGACCAGATGGACTGGTTCCAGAAGTCTTTAAGGATGGTGGTCCAATTTTAGCGATTAGGATGACTAATATTTTAGCTAAGATCTGGGAGTTAGACGTTATTCCATCTGACTGGTCACAATCACTTATCGTCCCAATATATAAGAAAGGGTCAAAATCATCCTGTGACAACCACAGAGGGATTAGGACGAAACACGTGATTTGGATTCCATTACTGAATACAATACAAAAACACGATTATCATTCAGTGTTATAATTTTTTCTTACAACGATATGATTTTCATGTTTTCATTTTATTTTGTTGAGAGTGAAGCATTTCTCTCCACCGACTAGTGAATGAAAACCATCATGCTTCTTTTAAATATCAGCATTTACATCTACGCATGTAAACAACTAATACAAATTATGCTGAGGTGGTATGGAAATAATTGTGCATCTTTAGTCACACAAATCAGCGGTTAGGCAGACTATGTGGTTCGAGCAGAATCTCCAACAAGATGCATCGAAAGATAATTGGTCATTTGTGTTTTATTCATCCACTTAGAGGCTAATCTTGAATGATAGGAATATAATATGATCAACGATACGATTATAAAGAAGACTGTAGATAAGTGTTACTATCCGAAGTTACAGAACAACAAACTGAACGGAAAATGGATTACCACAAGTAAAATATTGCAAATAAATTCGTATTTTACCTTGTTTTAAGCCAGACAACAGGTGAATCACTAGCTTCCATAGGTGGTGGTCTAGGATCAAGTAACAGTCTCCTACCAATGCTTCTGGCACCCATTTGCATGCGTTCATATCCAATTAGATGAGTGAAAGCATGAAGTACATCCAAATCATCGTCTACTTTTATAAAAGGATAACGACCGGAAAGGAAGGAAATAAATATAATCCCAACAGCCCATATATCAACAGCAGTTGTTTGTTCGATATGACGCATCATTACTTCTGGAGGCCTAAATCCAAGTGTTCCGCCTCTACGAACAGTCGGTGCTCGAGGTAAATGTCGACAACCACGACATACAGTGAGACGTGAACCACAAACACATCCTCCTTGTCCTAAAGATTGTGTCAGGTTACTTGATATTTGTTGAGAGGATTTGATAGATGCACCTTTAAATGTTGATTTGTTATCGATTTTTGAATTGCACGTATAAGCGAATAATGAGTTTTTAGAATCCATGGAATCTCGTTTATGAGTATAACTGTTTTCTCTGTTTGTTACATTTACACGCTGGTTATTCTCTGGTATGCTAAGATTTGTCTAGAAAAAAAACAAATAGATTATATGATAGTCTTAACTAAAACTTGATTCATGAAATAAACATTATGGTAGGACAATTTGGTGAAGAGCTTCATTTAAAAAGTGGCTTTGAGTACGCTAAGTTACTTAACTTTAAGCTACGTTTGTTCTGTGAAAGCGAATGATACTAGACGATATGTGACTTGGGACCTGACATATTGTTACTAGGACCAGAAAGAGAACACCAAACGAATCTTCTAGAAGTTGACAAAAAGAGATTGGTTAAATAACAGTTCTTTGTGATTTAGATAGTTGTTAGTTATTGATAGAAAGTGGTATGGAAAATCGATAACTAACTATCACGTAGGGAGTCCGAGCATTCGTCATACAGAATATCCCAAGTATCCTTTAGATATACAACTATCATCAAATTTAAGCTATCTGGCCTGAAATTATTAATCATTGATTGTGTCACACACCCTACTAGAAAGTTTGTACTTACTTAGATGGTTTGAACAAAGAAGCAAGGACTCCATAAGCCAATGTCACGCTTTAACCTGCACACTTATTTTTTCTAAACTACTATGCTAGCCATTACAGCATTCCGAAGTAAGCGGTGGGTGATTAGACACAACGCATGTTTCAGTCATCTCAGGAGACAAGTATCTAAAAATTTTGATTAATATAATGCTTGCTTTTGTCTTCACTTTAGGGTCTTCATACTAAAAAGTTTTGAAGCTACTTAAACGACCTGAGACAGGATTTCATTGACCTTCTATAAGTTTTGAAATAAATGACTAACCAATTCAATTACACTCAAGAAACGGTTATTACAACATCGCAGAAACTAATTGTGTAATGTTAAAACTATAGTTAAAATGAAATCTTATTTCTTACCCGAGAAAAACTTGAAACTCTTTTCATTAATTCATTTTTCTTTGTATCTGAATCTGAGTTGACTTCAAATTTGCGCTCCCATCTTTCATCAATATCACCAAACTCTTCAGAATGTGCCAGACCAAAATCTACGAGAAAAAATCTAGATTATATGCCAGTTAAACAGACAAATTTTTACTGTTTTGTTTTTTGATCCATAAGAAAGTTTGTAGGCTTTACATCACGGTGGATTACTTTGTATTTATGAACATGAGCTAAGGCTGAGAGGAGTGCGCGCATATATCGTCTGATTTCTTTCTCATCTGCAGTTAGATAATAGTCCTCACAAGAAAAAATGAAGCATAAGAAATAAATATTCCTTAGCCTACTGTGAAAGGGATGTAATCAATAAAAGGCATTAAAATGAAGACATGATCACGAATCCGCATTGCTGTATGCATTTGAATTACATTATGCTTACCACTGAAAGTATTTTATTGTATAAATGAGTAACCAAATATTACCCTAATCTTCTCAGAATACGAATTTCATTCTCAATTCTACGAACATCGACTGTTGGGATAATCATTTTCAAAGCATAGTATTTGGATTCATCAGGATCTTGTTTACTTTTGACCGCCAAGACAGAGGCAAATGTACCCTGCCCTTGTCGTTCAGAGACATCGAATAGGTCTGTAATTTGAGGGAACTCAAAAATATACTGCAAGCTTCGGACTTTGCTTTCAATCATTCCAAGAATATCTGAAACAGATATTTTCAAAAAATATATAATTGTACTAGGAAATCACTTACATATAAGTGCTAAAAAGGGTTCACTTGTGCCGTCAGGCAACGTAAAAGGCATTCACGGGTGTAATAAACCAATCTGGAAGTCTCCAAGTACATGTTTATGTTCTCAGTTTCAAGGCACACGTTTGCATGGCCACTGATGATGCATGAGTTGCTCAAGTTAAAGAACGAGTGTGGGACCCAAATACATAACTTAGTGCTTAAAGGTCGACTAATTCAACTACTAAACTATATGAACTTTAAATCGAAGAGCACAGCATGAACTAACGTCAGTGTAATGTGAAGGATTAAGCGGGGTATTTGTATTTCGTGGTTCACTCATTGTCTTCAGTAATCGGGCAGATTCGTTGCAACAGTTTATATATATATATATATATATATATATATATATATATATATATATAAACAAGACTGTTATTACGCAAGTCTTTATTACTAGTTAGCTGCATAGAAAAAGTATAGTATATTGAAGGCTTTGAGCTAACCAATCAAAATTAAGATAACGCCTCAAGTATATCGTGAGAAATTGTAAATGCAATAGTAGATAACTAGCATTTTAATATTAGCTAAGTAATGTTGACATTGGTTTAGTCATAAAATGTTTCCAACCAAAAAGTCCACTTTAGGTGGTGCTTGAGCAAAATAACAGAATATACCTGCTCCTAAGATGAAATATGTGCTGAAGTACTCGACGCGATACAGCGTTTAGTCAAGAGAGTTCGATAAAGATAGGTGATAACTTTCCTTCACCACTCTCCCTCTCAATTTCAAGCCCCAGTTGTTGGTTTTTTCAATTGAAGAGAAAAATAAGCACTTCATTGTAGCTGTTGTAAATTTATGGCAAGAATGCGGATACTGACGTTTTAAAAACAAACAAAAAGCCACATTTTATTCATTGTTAATTGAATTCGACCATTTTAAGTGACAACTGACGTCACTGACAGTCGGTGAACAAAATTCGGTAGAGTGATCAATCTACACCACAGCGCTAGTCCGAGTTCTATGTAATTAATCATATACGATCTAACTATTTATGCCGAATGAGCTTGACTTGTGCATGTCATTCATACTGATAGTGTCATTTATATTTATATTCTTCACATTAGATAAAAACTGATTCATCCTCAATTAACTGAACAGGCACGTTCGTTTTAAACGACTTTCAACACCGATTACTTTTATTCTAACAGGAGTAGCTGGAACACGAATCTCTCAACTTAGCTTGCATGCAGCTAATAACAAAATCGTTGACAAGCAGGATAGCACAGGTATCATATGCGTAACTAAACCTTAAAAAGTGAACTTAGCTTGATTATTAACACCTAAACAAAACATATGGAGTGATCAATAAAAACCACAGCGCTAGTCCGAGTTCTAATGTGTAAACCTGACTTATGTATTTTACTATAACGGATAATTTAACATGTGAGAGTTGATTATTCAGATCAAGACTGCTATTCTACTGTTTTATTTATTTAAACACACAAACATTGGTATAAGGAGGCACCAAATAGATATGCGCCACATAAATCATCCGATTTGTGCGAGCGCTGGGATACTGTCCGGTGCCCGAACCGAAGCAGGTTATAACAGTAAATAAAATATATTTTACCAATTTACATTGCCAATTGTTATATAACTAGGTAGCGTTCCCTAATATTAGTAAACTTATCAGCCCATATAGGCTGATAAGTCGCCCTAGGTCATCAGCATAGTACACTTCAACCAGCAAGATCAAGCCATGAACTGTTTAAGCATATCGAGCGAGAACAAAAAACACAGATCTGAAAGAAGTTAAGTCTGTGACAAATGTTACTGTCCTTTTGAAAAATGCACTTATACCGAGTAAAAGGAGTGACTTGTAACAACTAACAACACCAATGGAGTCTAGTGTATTGGTTTGTGTCTAGCCAGAGATTACTTTGTGCACAAAATGAGCATGTAGAGTAGCGTTAAAGTTGGAGATAAAAACATAAGAAAAGGTGGGTCGATGACCCAGTAAACGCGCACAATGCACTTGGGTCTTACTAGGGAGAGAAATGAACAACAAGTAGAAATAAAACAAGCCTCGTATTAAAACAAACTTGGAATCAAAACTAGAACCAAGAGACCCAACCCGCTACACAAGTTAAGTTCAAATTGACTCTTCTCGGTGAGCGGTTAACCTCAAGGACTAACGCAGTTATTTACTTTCGTAAAACAAGTGATTGGGCTCAAAAGGTTTTAGACTTTATATTTTGTTAGATGGGACTAGTGGCACTCAAAGTAATTTCCTCGATTCTAATATAATTAAAGTAAATATCACATGTGTTAGGCAATAATCCAAATCTGCTCTGACTTTTCTTAAAAGTGAGATACAGTACGTAGACTGGAGTCATACTTGTAGCGGTAAATAAATCCCCGAAACCAATGGCTCTGTAGATCTTCAAAGTCTGATGCTGACTGCATTGGTTTTAACGAACTCACCTGGCTGAAGGCGCTTGGTCGGGCGTCTGCACCAAATCACGAGCGTGTACACCGTGCTTCTCTTTCCCTACAACCGTTCGCCATCTTAGACTAGTCACTTCTTGTATACCGATATTCTATCAGATAAATCTTTGAGACTCTTTGCTTCTGACCGCTGATTTTACTGGATTATCTTGTTTTCATTAAAAATATTGTTACTTGTTATGCGTCTTCAGGACTATTTCCGTTCATTCAGTGAGCGAGTCCTGCATTTGAAAGCAGAATTTTCACATTAAATTTTACTTCAGACTCCAATTTTCACTTCGCCTTTTCTGTTCATTTGACTAATTGTAAGGAGCCACAGCCTCGTGTCCATAGTTGATAAAAGTATAATGCTTAGGATGAATAGTTTTCAAACGGTCCAAGTTGTTGTTAACGGAGTAGAAGAAACTTTCACTTAACGGAGTAGTGATGACCCGAGGAAGTAACCAGTCAGAAGTTTCAACACATCTAAATTTTCGCTGGTAAACACTCTTCTGATAACTTGCTATATTCATCAGCGTCCGGTCGTCTTTCCTCACATGTTTTACAATTTAGTAATGAAAAACAGGTTTATAAAAACTTTCGATACGTCGCAAACTTCGTCGGTTTTCGATCTTTTCCAGACATCCTGAAAAAGAAAAAAAATACTAGTGCATGTGAATTTACACTCGTACGCGCACAAAGACACAAAAAGTGCGAAGAAAGGAAAATAAACTCATACACATGCGTTTCGCGAACATGTAATAGCATAAAAGCGATTTTCGCAGAGTGAATTTTCGTTGTTTTTTTAAAAAAATAGTAGCACAACAACAAAAACGAAAACTTTTTTGTTTCCTTTAGAATAAAAAATATGTGTGAGCATATTGAAAACATTTTTGTTTTCTCGATACTATGAAAAAATTGAGACGAAATAAGGTGTCACGTAGTTTCCTACGTGCATTCATCGCTTAGTTAGTTCCGTTCTTATCGATTAGTACTTAATTACACGCTGATGAACTTCGTAGGGTCCTTCGTACGCCATTCCAAGTGGTTGTCGAAGTGAGTTGCCACGTACAAAGACGTGTGTAATATATCGTAGTGCAGGTCGTCTGGTTGCGGTCGACTGGTGACAGGTTTAACTGAATGTATTGTTTTTGTAAGCCTGTTCGTATAAGAGTTTAGATCCACATTGCCTGAAGAAGATGAAAGATCCACCGATTCTCCTGGAAATCTGAGTGTCGTTCCATAAATGAGATGAACTGCAATGTATCCGGTGTCGGCTTTTACTGTATTGCTAATGCCGAGCAAAACGAGTGGAAGAGCGTCGGTCCACTGTGAAGCGTTTACAGCTGAGAGTGAAGCTTCAAGCTGTCTGTGAAAGCGTTCTACTGACCCATTTGCTTGTGGGTGTTAGACAGTCGTTCGGAATCGTGTGATTTCTAATAGTGCAGTCGGATAACGGAAAATTCCAGACTCGAACTGGCGTCCACGCCCCTTAGTGATAGTTGGAGGGCAGTTGTAATTCGCTTCTCACCGATCGACGAAGGCACGGGTCGCTGCTTCAGCAGTAAAGTCTTTGATAGGTACTTCTTCTGATCACCGTGTGAATCAGTCTGCGCATGCTAAGAGATAAGAGTACCCATTTGAATCTGGTAAGGGTCCCACTGAATTAAGTTGAATGTGGTCGAAACGAGCATAAGGAGTTTGAAAGAGTCTAAAGGACAAGTGTTATGTCTAACCACCCTGGATTTCTGACGGCTTACACAGAAGTGTGTCAACTCTGTCTCGTCTTTATTTATGCTAAGCTAACAAAATCACTTTGCCATGAGCTTGATGGTTGCACGAACACCTGGATGAGAAAGCTTATGCAGCTTATTGAGGATGTTGCGTCGATAATGTTTCGGCATGATTGAACGGTCCCTCCGTGTGGATGTGATGCACAGCAAAGTTTCTTTACTTGTTCCCATCTGTTTAACACGTATTCTCGGGGTTGTGGAAGATAACTGGTGCCGAAGATCAATGTTTTCTTGTTGAATCTGGGCGAATTTACGTAGGTCCATCCCTTGGAAACTGTTCAGGGAATTTGTACGAGAAAAAGCGCCTTCACTGGCATTTTTTCCAGAAAGGTATATACGAAGCAAACTACGAAATGTAGTCTGATTGTCGAGAGTCTCGAGTGGAATGCTTGTCTGAGGATGAGCTTAACGAGGAGTTAGGACCTTTGTGTATGGTGTAAATAGTGAATTCTCGGCCTTACACAGAGTGTCGAAAGTACAACACAATATATGGCTAAGAATTCCCAACCGAAAACTCTATACCTCGACTCTATGTCCTGCAATCGTCTCGAGAAAACTCTGAAAGGTTGTCGGATGTCGATAGCCTATTGTTGTAAGACTTCTCCGATTTCCTGGCTGGATGCTTTTACTGCGATACTAATAAGTGCTTTGATGTTCTGATGTGTGAGTAATGTTGCTTTGGCAATCAGTTCCTTATCTATGAACAATGCTTTTTCTCGATATCGTCCAAATTGATGTATTTCGTATATCCACGAAGTTGGTTTGTTGAAAATTTCATAGGAGAGACACAATTTGGTATTGACAGTCTATAGAAACTTACTAAGCCATTAAACGTGCGTAGTTGCTTGATTTTGATAGGTTTTGAGTAATCCAGAAGGACCGCCACCTTGCTTTTTAGAGAACAGATGTTTTGATCATCAATAGTATGTCCTAGAAAATCTAGACAGTCAGTGCCGATTTGTCATTTCTGAATGCTTACAGTAATACCGTGCTTATATAGTAGTTCGAAAACAAGGTTCAGAAGAAGATAATGAGATTCTCTGTGTGGACTGTAACCGAGCAGTCATCAAAATACTCGTATATGAAGTTGAAACCTCAAAAAACGTTTGCTCATCATTTCTTAAGCCAAAAAGTTTGTGCAAAAATTCGTAGAGACCGAATTGAGTGATGATATCGGTTTCAAGAATGTCGTCAGAAGTCGTGAGTATTTCGTGCCTCAACTGTGACTACGCGAAAATCGAAATAAAGACCTATTCACTACTTGTCTGGTTTCTTCTATCAATATCACGTCGGGCTCACCAGGTTCGTGCCTCAAGGTGACCCTCGTGCTATTGACAGAAGAAACCAGACAAGTAGTGAATAGGTCTTTATTCCGTTCTTCGCGCAGCCACAGTCGAGCGTGGGATTATCTGTGCAGACAAACAAGGGCTCTCAACATTCAATATAAGATAATAGGGAATATAACGCTTATAAAAAATAAGAAAGTGAATGAATACTTGAACAATACTGTTTTGGCATATGCTTGGTTGTTTGGGGTTAACTCTTAGCCAACCAACTTAAGCTGTTACAAGTATTCCGTTATACGTGTAGAATCATGATCTACGATGATAATAATAATGCTCTAATAATAGACTTAATCCCAAAATGGTAGATTTATCATGATATAACTGCCTAATCTATAAGATCTTACGTGGAAGTCACAACATTGTCCACAATTACTCACCGTATCAGAACAATTATCAATATATGGTGGTGAACAAATTCAGGAAGGAGATGGCACAATATATTTAATATGAGCAAAAGATATATAGTAACATTCGACGAAGACCACGCCTGCAAAGTCGAGCTGTGCCATCCAACTGACTCGAATTAACTCAATTTTATTGTCTTCGCCTTATCCACCATTGGGTTTTTCTCCGCGTTAAATGTTTAACATCTGTTTTTCCAGTTGTCTCGTGTTCAGCATTGAGGATTGCGTGGTTAGGGCTCAACGACAATATATACGCTTCAACCAAATGGATTTTCGAAAAAATAGTTGTGACATTTAAGGTAGCTGTGAAATTGTGAATGTGAGGTGGCGGGTAGCGATCAGGAATGGTTTTCGCATTTCGGCGCCAATATTCACCAATCAGGCGCCAGGTGTTACTATCCTTTATGGGGACTATATGCAACGGAGATGCCGATGGACTGTTTGATGGCCTAATGATTCGTAAGTTTATCATGTGTTTTATTTCGTTTTTGGCCAACCTCGACTTTTCGGGAGCTAGTCGGCGCACTTTTGAGAACACAGGTTGTCCCATAGTCGTGGTGCGATGTGTAACATTTTTGGTTACACTTGACGATTTCGGTAGCGTTTGTTATATATCTCGGGGTACTTATCGAGTATTTGTCGGTAGCATGGATCTTTCATGTGTCCTACTGTGACTGGGGAGAACCTACCACCAGAAGAAGCAACATGTACATACAATTTAGTATTTCCGTTTACTAACCCCGATTTTTTCGAGTCCATTATGATGTGATAGCAAGTCTATACCAACGACTATGGCTGAAACATCTGAAACAACGAAGAACCAGAGTGAATGGGCTTACGTAAACCCACGTTAAGTTAAACATATCGCTTACCGTATGTGGAGGTCGGTTTCTTATTTGCCACCTGTAAGTTGAAAACTGCTTCACGCATTCAGTCTTTTGGATTCGCCGGAAGAACTCTAACTTCTGCGCTGCTATCGTCAAGGTTGCGAACTTTCGTAGTCATATCAACGATGTATAACAGACAGTTGTGTTCACTGGCTGCTGTTGCCGTTAACACGTGCCTACTGGGAAGTTTCCTGAAACGTTTCTTATGTCGGCCGGCTTGAGACTAGGGAAACTGAATGGTTTTCTCTAATTTAGAGATT